TCGGTGCCTGCGGCTCAGGACTCTGTTTCCGTTCAAAGGTCCTCTGTCCAAGGCGGACCCCAGGGCTCCCCTTCGTCCACTTACCCGTGGGCGTGGGATCACCGCTCCGTCCGATTCAGGGAGGTCATGGTGAGGTCGGGGTGCCTGAGACCAGCAGGCCCCGAGCTCCCGCTGGCTCTGCCTTCCTGTCTCCCCGGAGCGGGGTCCCCTTCCCGGGGTGCACCCCGTTCCCGGGCGCCCCATGGCCCCAAGCACCCGCTGGCTCTGCCTTCCCTATTCTCACTGGGAGCGGGGTCCCCCCTGGGGTGCACCCCCATTCCCGGGCGCCCTGTGGCCTCGAGCTCCTGCTGGCTCTGCCTTCCTGTTTCACCGGAGCGGGGTCCCCTTCCCCGGGTGCACCCCGTTCCCGGGTGCCCCCCAAGGCCCCAAGCGGACCCGCTGGCTCCCGTCCTCCCTGTCTCACCGGGAACGGGGTCCCCACCCCGGGGTTCACCCTGTTCCCGGCGCCCCTGAGCTCCGAGCACCCGCTGCCTGTGGACGTGGGTGGGGGAAGCTCGCGGGGGCGGACGCGTCTTTCATGTGTGACTCAGCCGCCCCGAGCAGCTCGGGCCGGGCCGCCTGCAGCGGGTCCCACGGACGGACGGACGGATGGACGGACAAACGCCGTTTTACGGGGACGAGGCGGCCGGCTTAACGAGCCGCTGAGCTCAGGCCTGAGTCAGTGGGAACGCCGGGCGCTGGGACCCGTGACGTGGCCGAGACCCGAGTGCAGACGAGAGGGGAGGGTCAGGGGAGCGGGAGGAGGGGAGGGTCAGGGGAGCGGGAGGAGGGGAGGGTCAGGGGGGGCGGGAGGAGGGGAGGGTCACGGGGAGGAGGGGAGGGTCAGGGGGAGGAGGGGAGGGGAGGGTCAGGGGAGTAGGAGGAGGGGAGGGTCAGGGGAGCGGGAGGAGGGGAGGGTCAGGGGGAGGAGGGGAGGGGAGGGTCGGGGGAGCGGGAGGAGGGGAGGGTCAGGGGGAGGAGGGGAGGGTCAGGGGGAGGAGGGGAGGGTCAGGGGAGCGGGAGGAGGGGAGGGTCAGGGGGAGGAGGGGTGGGGAGGGTCAGGGGGAGGAGGGGAGGGTTAGGGGGAGGAGGGGAGGGTCAGGGGTTAGGGGAACGGGAGGAGGGCCAGGGGTCAGGGGAGCGGGAGGCGGAGGCCCCAAACTCAGATTAGCAGCGAGCAGCCCTCCCTCTGAGGAGCGACCTCGTGTCTTTGGCTAAAGCACCTGGAACCGCAGGCTGTGTTCCCGGCGGGGCCTGCGCAGGCGGTTTTGGGGTAAATCGGCCTTTGCATTTGGCATTTCGGTTCCTGTGTAAATGGGGCTGCAGGGCTCCGGGTGGTTTTGGGGTTCTGACGTGTGATGCACCTGGAGAGGGGGTATTGAAGCTGCAAACGGCGGGGAGCGGGGAGTGGAAATAATGATGCTGGCACAGCGTGGCCTCAGGTCTGTGTCAGGCAACAAGCAGGAAGCCGCGCCCTTCTGCCAGGAGGTCCGGTGGCCTCGGCTGCCCTTAGGCCCGAGGGAGTGCTGTTTGCGGCCAGTGTTGGGAGGGGCCTCCCGGGCAGCGTCTGCCGGGCACAGGGGCACCCCTCCCGGTGCAGGGGGTGCTGAGGGCGGGAGGGAGAGGGCGGGTCTGCACGTGATGGAGCCGTGGATTCTGCACGTTCCCGGGTCGGCAGGCGCGGGGCCAGCAGCTGAGCCCAGGGAGAGGCGGCCCCGAGGGGCACCAGCCGGACGCTGAGGGCCGGCCGGCCGGACGCCACACTGCCGCACGGGAGTCCAGGCCAAGCTGGTGGCGGGCGGCGTGTTCTTGTGTTAAGACTCGCTGGCGTGCGCACGGTGAGGCGTCGGCGTGCCGGCCAGGCCTGCGCTCTCCGCCGCAAAGCCGCCCCTGCTCCCGGCTGCGTGGCGTCCGCCGCGGAGCCCCGGCGGCTGTCACCGTCTCCGCGCCGGCCCGGCCGCTCCGGGTCCTGGCTGTGTCACTGACGCCGATGAACACGGGCACATGCTCCTTTGAGTTAGTGTCTGTGATTTTGGGGGTAAATCCCCCAAAGTGGAATCGCTGGGTCACAAGGCAGTTCTGTTCTTATTCATGCTGCTCCCTGGTGGGGGGGTGGCTGAGCAGAAAAGGAAGAAAGAGCCCTGACCGGTGTGGCTCAGTGGATAGAGCGTCGGTCTGCGGACTGAGAGGTCCCGGGTTCGATTCCGGTCAAGGGCATGGACCTTGGTTGTGGGCACATTCCCGGTGGGGGCGTGCAGGAGGCAGCTGATGGATGATTCTCTCTCATCGATGTTTCTAGCTCTCTATCCCTCTCCTTTCCTTTCTGTGAAAGATCAATAAAATATATTAAAAAAACAAAAAGAAAAAAGGAAAAGAGAGAACAGCTGTGGACGTGGACAGAGTGGGGTTGCCGGGCGGGGAGGGGGGTGAACGGGACGGTGGGGCCTGGCCTGGGGCGGGTGTGCGGTGCGGACGGTGCGTGTGGAATGTGCACCGGAGCCCGGACACGTCTGTGAGCCAGTGTCACCCGGTGAGCTCACACATACACACACACACACACACACACACATACACACACACACACATATGTATGTGTGTATATGTGTCAGAGAGGGAAGGGACTGTGTCACATGTGACCTCGTGAGCCTCCGGCCACCGGGGACGTGGCTGCTCCCGTGGGGGGTGGCCTGGGGGCGCGGGGCCTGGGGGTGCATGGCCTGTGGGCATGGGGCCTGGGGGCGGCCTGGGGCGCGGGGCCTGGGGGCGTGGGGGCGCAGGGTGTGGGGGCGCAGGGCGTGGGGGACGGCCTGGGGCGCGGGGCCTGGGGACGGCGTGTCCCCCAGGAGTGGACGGCAGGCCCAGCACCCCTTCCTTTGTGTCTGGACGCTCAGCGGGAGGAGGGATGAAGACGGGGGGGGGGGCAGGGAGCGCTCTGGGGTCTGGAGGGGGGGTCACGGCGGGAAAGGTCCCCGGTGACTTCACCGCACGGCGTCTGCGTCGGCCCCTGACTCACTGCGAGGTGCAGCCTCTCTGCAGAGCCGGACACTCAGAGGGCAGCCCGCCCACGGCCAGTGCCTGCCCTCCCACCCCGGCCTCCCCCAGCCCCTGACCTCCCCCCCTCGGCTTCCCCCCCAGCCTCCCCCCTTCCCCCCCGCCCTCCCACGGGGACGGAGCGTGTCACTGCACTGCGGGGCCGTGTGGGACCCTCCGACACCGGGCACCTGGGCCCCAGGGAGCGATGGGTGGCCCCTGGGAACCAGGCCGTCCCAGCGTCCACCGGGCCGGCCATCAGCCCGTTCGGCTGGCGCCCCCGTGGCTGGGGCTCAGCGGGGGAGGCACCTGAGCAGGCAGCTCTGACCCGCTCCCACCACAGCCGGCGCCAGGCGCTCGCCCACGGGCACCCGGGCCCCTCCGCCCGGGGGGGGGGGGCGGCCTCGGGCCTTGGCCTCCGGTCTTGGTGTGGACTCGGAGGAGACCGACCGCCGGCCGCACCGTGTCTCAGCCCGGGAAGCGCGCCCATGTACATGCCCTTGACCGGAATCGAACCCGGGACCTTTTGGTCTGCAGACCGACGCTCTATCCACTGAGCCACACCGGTTTTGGCACCTCCTATTCTTAAATATATTTTTTATTGATATCGGAGAGGAAGGGAGAGGGAGGGAGAAACATCAGTGATGAGAGAGAACCATGGCCCCTACTGGGGATGGAGCCCACAACCCGGGCCTGTGCCCTGACCGGGAATCGAACCCGGGACCCTTCAGTCTGCAGCCGACGCTCCATCCACTGAGCTACACCGGCCGGGGTGAAAGCGTCCATCTGCCGTGTTTGTGTGAGAGTCCACGTCCCCGACTGGGGGCCCGGGAGGAGGACGCTGCAGCCTCAGAGGAACACGTGGGCCCGCGGGCACAGCGGCCCTGGTGGCCACTCCTGTCGTCCACTCGAGGCGGTTTTCGGAGAAAAGCTCGTCCGCGGTGCCGAGAAGGGACGTGGCTGCCAACAGCCCCCTGAGCTCCCGGGCTCCCGCCTGGACGGGACGGGAGGCCGCGCCCCCGGCTCCCGGCCCTCGGCCTCCTGCGGGCAGCGGTGGCCCCGGAGTCCCCGAGCCGCCCGCCCGCCCGCGCCCGCCCGCGCCCGCGCCCGCCCGCGCCCGCGCCCGCCCGCGCCCGCGCCCGCCCGCGCCCGCGCACACCTCCGCCCGCGCACACCTCCGCCCGCGGACACCTCCGCCCGCGGACACCTCCGCCCGCGGACACCTCCGCCCGCGGACACCTCCGCCCGCGGACACCTCCGCCCGCGGACACCTCCGCCCGCGGACACCTCCGCCCGCGGACACCTCCGCCCGCGGACACCTCCGCCCGCGGACACCTCCGCCCGCGGACACCTCCGCCCGCGGACGCCACCGGGGCTGCGGAGGCCGTGGCGGCGGGTGTGCGGGAGCGTCCTAGGAGCCGCCGTGCACGGGTGCGGGGTGGGTGGGGGTGGGGCCAGGGCTGGTCCGCCGGGAGAGGGACAGGGAGAGTGGCCGGGCCGGCCGGTGTGGGCGGGGTTGCTGCCGCGACGCCGGTGTCCAGACGCTGGTGTCGGGCCGGAGGGCATGTGTGGGCTGCGGGCCGTGGCTTTGAAGCCGCCAGCCGGCCCCTCCCCGGTCCGAGCCCAGAACAGAGGCCGTGACGCAGCCCAAACCTCTAAACCGGCTTTACGGGGCGCGGCCGCTCCGGGGGCAGCGAGCCCGCAGGTTCCCAGGCGTCTCTGGCGCGGGGCCGAGGCGGGGCTGGGCCGGGGCGGGGCGGGGGCCGGGGCTCAGGAGCCAGGCAGGCGGGGCCACCCTCCCGCAGGGACGCATAAAAGCCGCCGCCAGCCCCGGCCTCTCACAGCTCTCCGCTCCGCTCCGCCCGCTCCGCCCGCTCCGCCCGCTCCGTCCGCGCCCTCCGCGCCCTCCGCGCCCTCCCTCCGCCGGCACCATGTCCCACCACTGCTCGCCCCGCACCGGCTCGGCCCGGGCCCCGGCGGGAGGCTGCCCCGTGCCCGGCGTGCCGGCCGCCCCCGGCTCCTCGCTCGACGTCGACTGCCTGAGCGGCATCTGCCTGCCCAGCTCCTTCCAGACCGGCTCCTGGCTGCTGGACCACTGCGCCCGGGAGCCGGGCTGCGAGCCGCCGGCCTGCCCGCCCGCCTCCCGCCTGGCCAGCCCCGGGCGGGCCGCCTGCCCGCGCCAGCCCGCCTGCCTGGCCGCCCCCTGCTCCGCGGCCTGCAGCCGCCCGCTCACCTTCGTGTCCAGCAGCTGCAAGCCGGCCGGCGGCCCCGCCGGGGGCCAGCCGGGCGCCCCCCGGACCTACAAGCGGCCCTGCGTGTCCGGCTGCCGGAGGCCCTGCTGAGCCGGCCCAGGAGCGAGCGAGCGAGACCGGACCTGCCCGTGCCGGACCCTCCCGCTGCCTCGCGGCCTCGCCTCCGGCTCCCGGACGGCCCGGCTCCCGGCTGCGCCTCCGGCTCCCGGACGGCCCGGCTCCCGGCTGCGCCTCCGGCTCCCGGACGGCCCGGCTCCCGGCTGCGTCTCCGGCTCCCGGTCTCTTGCTCCGGAGGAGGGAGCTTGTCTCGCTCGGTCCTTCCAATAAACGGCGTCCCTCGGCCTCCACGTGTCTCGAGTCCTCTGTCCTCGCCCCTCGCCCCTCAGCGCCCTCGCTGACCGGCCTGGTGCCCCCTCCTGAGGCGGGGAGGGGGAAGTCTCAGGGTGGGGGACGGCGGGGTGTCCGCGGGACGGACGGGTGGTGAGGGACGGGGGAGCCTGGTGTCCCCTCTGTGGGGCTGGGCACAGTCACGCCCGTGAAGAAAAGGGAAGCGTGACCTGGGAGGCGTGGGCGTGGGCGTGGGCATGGACGTGGGCGTGGGCGTGGGCATGGACGTGGGCGTGGGTGTGGGCATGGACGTGGGCGTGGGTGTGGGCATGGGCATGGACGTGGGCGTGGGTGTGGGCATGGGCGTGGGCGTGGGCAGCGGAGTGGGCATGGGCGTGGGCGTGACCTGGGGAGGCGTGGGCGTGGGCGTGGGCGTGGGCGTGGGCGTGGGCGTGGGCGTGGGCGTGGGCAGCGGAGCGGGCAGAGGGGCGGGTGGGGCCCAGACGTCCTGAGAAGAGGGTGGGGGTCGTGTCCGGCCTGAGGCCCCTCACCGGCCGGCAGTGAGGAGAGCTGGGGGGTCGGGGGTGGGCTGAGCCCGGGAGACCCACAAACACGCCTCGGAGACACGCGTGAACGTGATTCCGGAGCCGGCTCCCGCCTGCTCCTCAGGGAAGGCCGTCTGGGGCTCAGCCTGCCGGCTCCTCGGACTGTTCCTGAACGGGAGACGCCGGGCCGGGCCTGCCCTCGCCGTGTCCTCAGCGGAGACGCCGGCGTGTCCGGCCGGGGCGGCTCAGGGCGGACTTTCCAGGAAATGGCGGCCGGCGCTGGGGAGGCCCTGCCGCTCTGCGGGTGCCTTCCCTCTGCCCCCGCCCGCGGGCAGCCCCTCCTCAGCGAGGGCGCGGACAGGGCGGGGGACGCTCCCCATGGGACCAGCTTCTGGCTACCCCCCCCCCCCCCCCCCCCCGTCCTCGAAGCCACGGAGTTTATTCTCGAACCCGGAGCCTGGGGGCCGGGCGGCCCTCGAAGCTGCTGTTGGCTCGCCTCACTCCCCGTTTGTTCTGTCGTCCCCGGGACCGGGACCCCCGGCCCTCAGAGGCGGGCGGAGTCTCCACACCGGCCTGGCCTGTCCTCCTCTCCCCGCTGCCCCCCCTCCCCGTTCCAGCGGCTGTGTGCTGTCCTGTCCGTCCCCGCGGCCGGAGCGGCTCTGTGCTGCCCCGTCCGTTCCCGCGGCCCGAGCGGCTCTGTGCTGCCCGCTGTGTGCTGCCCGCTGCCCGTTCCCGCGGGCCGAGCGGCTCTGTGCTGCCCCTGAACATTCCCGCTGCCCGAGCGGCTCTGTGCTGCCCCGTCCGTTCCCGCGGCCCGAGCGGCTCTGTGCTGTCCTGTCCGTTCCCACGGTCCCGAGCGGCTGTGTGCTGCCCGCTGTCCGTTCCCGCGGCTCCGAGCGGCTCTGTGCTGCCCGCTGTGTGCTGCCCGCTGTGTGCTGCCCGCTGTGTGCTGCCCGCTGTCCGTCCCCGCGGGCCGAGCGGCTCTGTGCTGCCCCGTCCGTTCCCGCTGCTGGCAGGGAGACGGGGACAGAGAGAACCATCAGTGAGAGACGCCCGGTGGGCTGGCCGGGCCGGGGAGGAGCCTGCCGCTGAGGTAGGTGCCCGTGACCGGAATCGAACCCGGGACTCTCCGGTCTGCAGGCCGGTGCCCTGCTCTGTCTTCTGTGCAGATGACCAGCCGCCTCCACACAGGCGTGTGCGTCCCAGCCCGCCTCCAGGGCATGTGCCATGTGTGCTTAGGATGGTTCATGGAGCTCACATAAGAGCCACAGGTGTAGGGACTCACGTGTGTGCGCGCGTGCATGTGTGTATGTGTGCCTGCCCGTGTGCGCGTGTGTGTACGTGTGTGTACGTGCCTGCCTGTGTGTACGTGTGTGTGTACGCGTGTGCGTCTGCCTGTGTACGTGTGTGAGTGTGTGTGTACGTGTGTGTGTGTGTACGTGTGTGTGTATGTGTGAGTGTGTGTGAGTGTGTGAGTGTGTGTGTGTGTGAGTGTGTGTGTGTTGTGTGTGTGAGTGTGAGTGTGTGTGAGTGTGTGAGTGTGTGTGTGTGTGAGTGTGTGTGTGGGTGTGTGTGAGTGTGTGAGTGTGTGTGAGTGTGAGTGTGTGTGAGTGTGTGTGGGTGTGTGTGAGTGTGAGTGTGTGTGTGAGTGTGTGTGTGTGAGTGTGTGTGTGTTGTGTGTGTGAGTGTGAGTGTGTGTGTGAGTGTGTGTGTGAGTGTGAGTGTGAGTGTGTGTGTGAGTGTGTGTGTGTGTATGAATGTGTGTGTGTGTGTGAGTGTGAGTGTGTGTGTGTGAGTGTGAGTGTGTGTGTGAGTGTGAGTGTGTGTGTGAGTGTGTGAGTGCGTGTGTGAGTGTGTGGTGGGTGTGTGTGAGTGTGTGTGTGTGTGTGTGAGTGTGAGTGTGTGTGTGTGAGTGTGAGTGTGTGTGTGGTGTGTGTGAGTGTGAGTGTGTGTGTGGTGTGTGTGAGTGTGAGTGTGTGTGAGTGTGTGAGTGTGTGTGTACGTGTGTGAGTGTGTGTGTACGTGTGTGTGTATGTGTGCCTGCCTGTGTGTACGTGTGTGTGTACGCGTGTGCGTCTGCCTGTGTACGTGTGTGAGTGTGTGTGTACGTGTGTGTGTATGTGTGAGTGTGAGTGTGTGTGAGTGTGAGTGTGTGTGAGTGTGTGTGTGTGAGTGTGTGTGTGTGAGTGTGTGTGTGTGTGAGTGTGTGTGTGAGTGTGTTGTGTGTGTGTGAGTGTGAGTGTGAGTGTGTGAGTGTGTGTGTGTGAGTGTGAGTGTGAGTGTGTGTGTGTGTGTGAGTGTGTGTGTGGGTGTGTGTGAGTGTGTGTGTGTGTGAGTGTGAGTGTGTGTGTGGTGTGTGTGAGTGTGAGTGTGTGTGTGAGTGTGTGTGTGAGTGTGTGTGTACGTGTGTGTGAGTGTGTGTGTACGTGTGTGTGTATGTGTGCCTGCCTGTGTGTACGTGTGTGTGTACGCGTGTGCGTCTGCCTGTGTACGTGTGTGAGTGTGTGTGTACGTGTGTGTGTATGTGTGAGTGTGAGTGTGTGTGTGTGAGTGTGTGAGTGTGTGTGTGTGTGTTGTGTGTGTGAGTGTGTGTGTGTGTGTGAGTGTGTGTGTGAGTGTGTGTTGTGTGTGTGAGTGTGTGTGTGTGTGTGTGAGTGTGTGTGTGAGTGTGTGTTGTGTGTGTGAGTGTGTGTGTGTGTGAGTGTGTGTGTGAGTGTGTGTTGTGTGTGTGAGTGTGTATTAGCCAACTTTAACCCCAGGACGTTTTGTTGGACTCCCTAGGCTAAGCCCTGCCTGGGGGGAGGAGGAGGGGCTGTGGGCGCTGGGGGAGGAGGAGGGGCTGCTGGGGGAGGAGGTGTGGGTGCTGGGGGAGGAGGTGTGGGTGCTGGGGGAGGAGGAGGTGTGGGCGCTGGGGGAGGAGGTGTGGCTGCTGGGGGAGGAGGTGTGGGCGCTGGGGGAGGAGGTGTGGCTGCTGGGGGAGGAGGTGTGGCTGCTGGGGGAGGAGGTGTGGCTGCTGGGGGAGGAGGTGTGGGTGCTGGGGGAGGAGGTGTGGCTGCTGGGGGAGGAGGTGTGGGCGCTGGGGAGGAGCTGTGGGTGCTGGGGGAGGAGGGGCTGTGGGTGCTGGGGGAGGAGGTGTGGGTGCTGGGGGGAGGGGCTGTGGTCCTGGGGGAGGAGGAGGGGCTGTGGTGCTGGGGGAGGAGGAGGTGTGGGTGCTGGGGGAGGAGGGGCTGTGGGTGCTGGGAGAGGAGGAGGTGTGGGTGCTGGGGGAGGAGGGGCTGTGGTGCTGGGGAGGGGGGACCAGATTGCCGGGGGTCATGCTGAACAGACGAGCAGGAAGGAGCGGGAAGGACCAGGGAAACCTGAGGAGCGGCCCCCCTTTCACCTCCCCCTTCCGCCCCCCCTCGGCGCCCCCGTGCGCCCCGACCCTGGACTGGGCTCTGCCTCGGCCGCCGTCCTGAGGGCCGACAGACGCCCGGTCAGCAGCTCTGACCTGTCGCCTCGCCCTGCCGCCCTCTCCTGCCCGCCCCCCCGGCACCGGGCGCCCTGCGTGGCGGGCAGGTCACGTCTCCACCGCTGCCGAGCGAGGCCCGAGCGGTGAGCCTGCCCGCCGGCGAGAGAGCGGACCTCAGGGTCGGGCGGTGTCCGTGCCACCAGGCTCCGTGGCCTCGGAGATGAAACGTTCCTGCCGTGCCGTCCGAGGCTGCAGCCCGCCCTCCACGTCTGTGCCCCCGCTCCCTGGCACCCGCCCTCCACGTCTGTGCCCCCGCTCCCTGGCACCACAGCTGACTGCCCCGGGGCGGGGTCCCTGGAGGCTTGGCTGCCGGAGCTCTGAGCCCGGGCCCTGCCCTTCTCCCGAGCCCCCACCTTCCGGCGGCTCGGGGCCGGGGAGGGCAGGAGGAGGGGCAGGAGGAACCCGTGAACCCCCCCAAAGGGGAAGGTTCGGAGCAGACACCCCCAGGATCACAAGCCCCCAGGCCCGTGACCCTCCCGTGGGGGAGCCAGGGCCGCGGCAGCCCCTGCAGGCGGGTCATCAAAGGCCAGCGTGGAGGTGGGTTTGAGTCCAGGCGCCGCCCCGGCTGCCAGAGCCACGCCGCACCCGGGGTCACGCTGCCCCCCCGGCCACACCCCCCAGGGCCACACCGCCACCGGGGCCACGCTGCCCCCCCGCCACGCCCCCCAGGGCCACGCTGCCCCCCCCCCCCGCCACGCCGCCCCTGG